ATAATCATACAGAGAGCCAAAATTTACACTCAAGTAGGGTTTTGAGATTGATCATTTCTCCCTGATCATAACAGCTTGTACGTCATGCCTGTAACCGTACCTCCTTCCTAATCCACCTGTTTATCACAATGGTTTGATTAAAAAACAGTGGAAACCTGACCAGTTGATATGTGCAAATTATTTGAGAGAAATGTTCAGTTGTGCTTTTGAGGAAGTATTTGGCACCATCTATGTATGTGTTTAAACTTAGTGGGCAGCTGTAGCCCTCCAGGTGTGTTTGAACTGCAAGTCATAATCCGTTGTGGTGATGGTGGTGTACCTTCAAGTTGTTTTCGATTTAATAATAACCCTAATAAAGCTCTACAAAATTTATGGGGCTGCCATAAATTGACAGGCAATTTGAAGGCATGTGCATGCGCACACACACACACAGAGAGCAAAACTACCCTGGGATTTTCTTACCAAGATTTGAACTGTTGTGCCTAGAACTGGATGCAGTATTCTAGGTGTGGCCTGGCCAAAGCAGAACAGAGTGGCACTATTACTTCCCTTGATCTAGACACTATACTTCTATTGATGCAGCCTAGAATCCCAATGTCTTTTTTAGCTGCAGCATCACACTATTAACTCATGTTCAACTTCTAGTCTACTAGGACTGCTAGATCCCTTTCACATGCAATTGTGTTAAGCCAGGTATCCCCCATCCTATATCTATGTGTTTCATTTTTTTCTGCCCAAGTGCAGTATCTTATATTTCTCCATGTTGAAATTTGTTTTAGTTTTGGCACAGCTTTCTAATCTATTAAGGTCATTTTGAATGTTGATCCTGTCCTCTGGGGTATTAGCTGCTACTCCTAATTTGATGTCATCTACAAATTTGATAAGCAAATTTGTTCAGAGAGAGTTTGCCTTTGCCTTTCTCTAAGACTGAGAGAGAGTGATTTTTCAATGTGAGTTTCCATGGGTGAGTGGGGATTCAAACCCTGGTCTCCAGAGTCATAGTCTAATGCACTACTACAGAATGAATCACTACACAAACAAACAACCATTACACAATGTTGGCTCTCTTTATAATTCCCAGCGACTGGTTTTCTGGCAACCTATTTTGAATTGTCAGCCAGAAACATTTGGATGGTTGCTTTCTCCTTCCTGGTTTAAAGCATGCACAGCTTATATTTCTATTTAAACAGCTTAAGGCAGCAGCTTGTGACAATAGAAGGGAAAAAAAAACTGAGACTAAAATCACAAGATAGAAAAGAGATCAGCAGATGGCAGATGGAAACCAAGAGCTTTAAAATAAGATGAGTGGTAGAATGAATGCTTGCTGAAAGAGAAATACAGTTGGCCCTCCACATTTGCAGCTTTGACTTTTCCAGTTTTGATTATTTGCAGATTTGATTAATATGTTTTCTCTAAGAATCCCTAGGGCCTCCAGAGAAATTCTGCTGGAAATTCACCATAGAGTTGTGCTGGAGGACCTAGAGATTACTAAAAACAATTCTCTAGGCATTTGTAGGTCCTCCAGCATGATTCTGTGGACAGCTTTTGGCAGATGTTCACTATAGAGTTGTGCTAGATGACTTAGCGATTCCTAGAGAGATGGTCTTTTTATTTGCGGTTTCCATGTGGGTCCTGTGCCTCTGACTCCAGCGAATGTGGAGGGCCTACCGTATATTCATGAGCTGGCAGAAGACTTTTAGGGTGAGCAAGGTAGGACTACTTGGAAAGGCAGTCTAGTTTTGGCTACAGAGAAGGTGATTTTCAGCATCTCAGCCAGTCACACTGTAAAATGTTTGTAGCATGCAAACAGTTTTTTAACAAACATTCAAGTTCATGAGAGGAAGCATCCTTTAGATAACCTCATTCTATATTAGATTGTAAACTGCAACATTTTTCTGCACTACTAAGTAGTGAACAAAATTACTTGTGAATGTGAGATGCATACAAATAAATTCTCTCAACTGGACAAGAAATCACTAATGTTGTATCTGGGGACAGAATATCAGTAAACAGCAATGGTCTGGGATACTGTAGAAAGACAGCATTTTCTTTCCCTGTATTTTAAAACAATGTTTGGAATCAATAATATAGACTATTCCTAAACACACAAAATAATTCGATTTACCAGATTTATTTTTAAATAGTGGACAGTTTAAATATAACTAAAACAGATGAGTGATTTTTCTTGTTAAAAAGGGAGTATGCATTGTATTGAAAAGAGGTTTTTAGGGCTCTGTTTTGTGGAGTACAAGTCAGAGCTAAACGGATGCAGATGGATGTTTGTGTTTTCTGTGAAGGGTGGTGCTTAATGCTGACCCCATTGCTCTGGTGGAATAGTCCCTTGTATTAAAAATTTTTTTAGAAGCCCTCTGAACAGATTAAATTCTCCATGTGTTGCTGCTGAAACAGATCATGTCCAGTGCATTTTTACCCATCATTTTGTATACCACGCACGTTATCTTTGCTCTTCAAAGGTATTTCTAATGGTATATTTATACTATAAATTTACATTGACATTGTACAATCATGTTAACTCTTAACTGCCTTTAGGTCAGGCTTCACTTATGGCAACCTTATGAATGAGAGCTTCAAGACACTATATCCTTGACAGTCCTGTTCATTTCTTGCAGACTCATGGCTTGATTGTCATTAAATCACAAAAAGTCCTATGCATTCTGTTAGCTATATTCTTCTTCATTTCTAAAGCTGAGTATCTCGGAGATCTCTCTGAAAAGGTAATAAACAAGCCAGTTTATATACAATGTGTAGCGGGGGCACTCTGAAAGAAACAACTAGGTGAATGAGAATTTCAATTTATTTTTGATGAATGTCAAAGAATACTCAAGTTTGCAAAGTTCTTTATACTTGTAGTGCAAAGAACTTGAGTGTTCTTTGTTTCTGGTTTGTTTTGAATCAAACCAGAAAACTGGTTTTAATTGTATATTGTATTTTATTGTTATTCCCATTTGTTGTAACCCACCTTGATCCACAGGGAGAGGTGGGCTATAAATAAAATGTATTATGTATTATTATTAAACGCAACCTGAGAGATTTGTCCATCCAGGTCCAGGACTTAAGAGTGCTCAGCTTCTGAATATTTGGCTTTAAGTCTGTGTATTCAGGTATTTTGTGGTGCTAAATCAGAGTTGCCACCACCTTTTTATGACAGGCTATTGTGCTTTATCACCCATATGGTAGGCGGGTGCCTCACAATTGTCTTTGTGCAAAGAATAGCATGAAACATTCAGTAGCATTCAATGGTGCCTATTGAATTTGGCCAATGCAAATGTGATTAACATAATTTCAGTTGATATTTGAAGAATTTGTCAAATATGCAAATATTTTCATATTTGGAACAGAAAGAACCTGGAGTTTAAAAATTCAAAAGTGGGGGGAAAGTGAATTTGAAAATTTCCACATTTATTGTGATAACCAACTATCTACTGAAATAACTGCTTATAAAGACTTTTGTACCAAATGGTTATTCTTTCCTTCCTTTTGTGGGGAATTCTGTCAGAAGCAGATAGCTCTTTCTGTTCAGAACTGATGACTGTGATGTCAGGGTTGTTTAACCACCTTCCCCAAATTAAGCAAAGATCCCTAAGATAGTTTACTGCCTTGAGGTGTGGTGGAGGAAGCTGTTCCATCATGAGTTTGAAGAAAGATATAACCATGTTATTGGGAAGAAAAATGCCTCAGGCTGGTCTTGTTAAGCCACAACAACAGAAGTACTATCTTGAGGAGTAGTACAATACAGGTCTTAAACATAAGATAATGCTCCAAGTTTGCAGGAAAATGGGTTTCATTCCCTTTAAGAATTACAGGTTTAGATGAAGGGTAGGCAAAGTGTGATATGTAGGCCGCCAAGGTCACCAGATCCAGAAGAGGCATGTGTGATTTCCCCCCATAACTAGGAAGGTTGCCCACACCCACAATCTTAGCAAGTATAAAGAAGAAAACCACAAGGAGGTTGGATAGACATTCAGATGACATGTCTGCATTCATGGTGTCTATACTTAAGCTATGGGTCAAATCAAAAGTAGGAGATTATCAGATGGGGGAAAAAACGCTGGGAGTAAAAGGCATACTCCTGGCATAATTGCACGATCACACTGAAGATTTTCCGACGACATTGCGCTCATCCAGGACTTATCGTGCAAAGATCCAGGAATGCTCCAGCAACAAACCATTCACGGGGAAGTCCTGGGAATGGTTTGTTGCTGGAGCATTCCTGGGTCTTCATGGGATAAGTCCTGGATGAGCGAGATGTCATCTGAAAATCTTCATTGTGATTACGCAATTATGCCGAGAGTATGCCTTTTATGCCTGGCTTTTTCCCCCTGTCTGATAATCTCCATAGTTTAGTTTGGTCATTTGGACTGTGTTTTCATTGAGGGGCAATGTACTTGTATGTTGGCTGTAAATACTAGGGGTCCTGGTGGTATGAGGGAGTTGGTGGTTTTGTATCCAGTTCTGTGCACCACAGTTTAAGGAGGTTAAGTAAGATGATCTCTTGGTGGCAAACTTGATTATTAGTGGACAAATCAGTTTTGTACATTCCATGATTCTTCCCATTTACATGGTGGTTTAGCAGCCAGAAGGCTCACAATCACACACACATGCCTTGCACCACTGGCATTTGGAGAGGTATATTGCAATAGAAGCCACAATATTTAGAAATGATTCCTTACCAGTATAATGTGGGAGAAGAAAGAAGGAAAAAAAAATGCACTTCTGGTTGAAGGACAATAGTTTTTAGTGCTTGATAAATACGGTGCAGAATGGCTGGGGGAAAAAATATGGGCATTCAAAGGCAAGCTGCTCTCTGTTGTTGTTGTTGTTGTTGTTGTTAGCCTCCAAGTCATTTTTTACTTATGGTGACTCTAAAGTAACTCTATCATAGGGTTCTCTTAGCAAGTTTCTTTGGGTTTTTTTTGGCCATTGCCATTCTCTGAGGCTGAGAGTGTGTGACTTGCCCAAGGTCATCCAGTGGGTTGTTATGTTCAAGCAGGGATTCGAACCCTGTTCTCCCAGAGTTGTAGTCCAACACTCAAACCACTACACCACGCTAAACATAGCTATGAAAATGTGTAGCATAACTAATTTTCAAAATCCATTGTAAAATGTAGTTCATGTTAGCACCTCTTTCAGCCACTGGATGGCAACAAGTTCTTGAAGAATATGAATAAATTTCTCTTAGCACACCAGTTGGGGAAAAGAATGTAAGACAACTGTGTATGTGTGTGTAATCTTGGGCACTCCTTATCTCGATTGTTTAATCACACTGCCCCATCTTATTTGCTAGTCTTAAAAGACACTCAAGGATAACTCCTGTATCTATTTGCCGAATAAAGGCAAAAACAAATCCTCAAGAGGGGGTAAGTTACATCCTACATTCTAAGATATATATTTCCTCAAAATCACAGCAAGATATTTTTCTGTACAGTAATATTTTTATTGCAGATTGCAAACATGTGCCAACTGATATAACTCAACAGACTGGAAAGCAAGGTTGCCAACTGATGGCAGGGGAAGAGGAAGGATAAGGATCAGCCATTTCCTTCCCATCCGCAGGAGTTCGGGATGGAGATATATGGCCCTCAATATATATATATATATATATATATATATATATATATATATATATATATATATATATATATATATATATTATATAAATAAAATAAAATAAAAATAAAATAAATATTAATGGCCATATATCTCCATCCCACTCTGGGCATGCCAATTTTTGGCTGTTTCCTAAGGCAGAGAAGAGGAATGTGTGACCCACCAAGTGGTAGACTGTCATTTCCGGCCTCCTTCAGCATTGCTTATACTGGCTAGGGTTGCAATGCAGCAACACAAGAAAGGGCCACCACATGTTGCACTCTCCACATCTAAGTGAATAGACGAGTACTGTGCATGCGCAAACGAGTCACAGCCGCCATTTTGTTTCCCCCTGACCAACAAATACAAAATTGACAGCTCAAATCTTCTTTAAAGGGTTGGTAGGAAGAGCTGAAGGAAGGGAACTGAAGCATCCCTGTTTCCTTCTCATGTGCTGCTCCCAGGATTGCGATATTCTAGCCTCACATCTGCATATAATTTAAACTGGATCATACTGGATTATATTGCATATAATTTAAACTGGATCATACGGCAACCCTAGGTACTGAGTAAAGACAAGATGGTAGGAAAGAGAGAGGAGTGAAAGCAAGAGAGAACATGAATATGCTCTCCAGGGATGGCTTGGATGGCTTTTGTGGTTGTTGGAGGGCACAAATAGGAATCTTGGAGAAACCAGTCATTTATTTTTAACTCAGATTTTGATATGAGCAGAGAGTCAGTTTGAGCGGTGGACTGCAATTCTGGAGACCAGGGTTTGAATCCCAGCTTGGCCATGAAACCCACTGGGTGACCTTGGGCAAGTCACACACTCTCAGCCTCAGAGGATGACAATGGCAAACCCTCTCTGAAGAAACTTGCCAAGATAGGTTCACCTTGGTTTCACCCTAAGTTGGAAATGACTTGAAGGCACACAATAACAAGAAGTGATGCTAAGGGTTTGGAACACTATTTCTGAGGCAGATTTTCTGAGCCTCCAAAGTTCTTTTTTAAGATCAAGCCTGAAAAAGTACGTTAGCTTTACAATTATTATGGGAACATTATCCTCTCTGCTCTTCCATTGTCTCATCTTGGTCCCTTCACATCTGTCCTGCACTCTGTGGTGCCAAAATAATTCAGCTCTTTTTTCACTCTTGACTGCATGAGATTGCTCCTTAGGGTGAGTACCTCTGGCTTCCTGTCTGTCTGCGGATTCTGTATAAGATCAGAGGAATGGATACTGAAACTGTATGACACAACGGAAATGGATAAATTAACCAGTTAGTTAGCGATAGAATATTCGGAAATTTTTAATGTGGAAGAGGACCCACTTTTGAAGTTCCTAGGAAAAAAATGGAGAACGGTGGCAACTCTGGCAATAAGTAAATAAGTTGATACTTAAGAATGCTTTGGATCTGGAAAAAAAATAGAAAGAGAAACAATCATGATAACAAAAAATAGATTAATAAGCATATATGTGTTTCAATAAAAGAAGAAATACTGATAAAGTATCAACAACAAGAATATTATAAGATAGTCGAGGAGAAGCATATCGGTAGAGGTGACAAGGAGGAAGTTTGTATGAATAAAGAGGTATGTGAGAAGGTGAGAATAATTGAATAAGGGGATTAAGGATGTAGGGTAAAGGTAGAAGATGTAAAACAAGATGAAAGAAGGAGTTGCTTAATGGTAGAGATGGAATGGTATTATGATGTCATAATAATGAATGATATGTTATGGAAGGGTATGAGTTGGAGATGGAGAAGGATTTATTTTTATTATATAAAATATGCAATTTTTGGAGTTGTTAAGTACTGGAGCAGTGTGTTTACAAATGAGATCTTGTTCATTAATTAAAATTACCTATTGAAAAATATTCTGTACAAGATTCTCATCTTTACCTTCAAAGACTTCTATGGGCTCACTCCTTTCATCCCTTCTGCTTTTATATTCTGGTACATCCTTGCTTGTGACTTCTGTACCACTGGCTCTGCCATCCTTAGGCTGGCTGTGCAGGTCAGTGGACTTCATCTTCTCTCCCTTGCTGCCTGTCCAGTCTCTACCCTCAGAATTGCCTCCTTTGCCAATTGGATCTGAATCCTCTCCCAGCCAAAAGTGGCTCATGGCCCTGGGGTTGCTGGTGTCTGCTTTAGATATTCCTACCACACATAATAATCAAATATTGTACCTTGCTTATGCCTGTTTCCCTTTCCTTCTCATCCTCCGTTATCTACTTTGTGCCTTTTTCTAAGATTGTAGACCCTTAAGGTAGGAGAAACATGTCTCCTTATGAGTCTAGCCATCTGGCATGCAGTCTTCCTCTCTTTCTACTACCTTCTATCTTTCCTACCATTATTGTCTTTTCTAATGAATCGTGCCTTCTCATGATGTGGCCAAAGTATGACAGTTTTGTCATCTTGGTTTCTAGGGAGAACTCAAGCTTCATTTGTTCTAGTATCCTTTTGTTTGTCTTTTTGTCTGTCCATGGGATCCTCAGCACTCTTCCCCAGCACCACATCTCAAATGAACTGATCTTCTTTCTGTCCACTTTCTTCACTGTTCAGCTCTCATATCCGTACATAGTGATGGGGAATATCATGGCTTTGGCAGTCCTGATTTTAGCGCTCAGTTGTATATCTTTACACATTAAGACTCTTTCTAGTTCTTTCATAGCTGCCCTTCCCATTCCTAGTCATCTGATTTCTTGACTGCAGTCTTCATTCTAATCAATATTTGATCCAAGGTATGGGAAAACTTTAACTATAATTTGAATTCCTCATTATTTAGGTTGAATTTATGTAAATCCTATGTGGTCATTATTTTTTTTCTTTATGTTCAGCAGTAAGCACTGTAGATTTAGGTTTATATTGTTTTAGTTGGTATAAATAGTCTAATCATACTGAGAATGAGAGTTAAAATTGTAAATAAGAAACAGGCTTGCTGGATCTTCTAGTCAATTACCTTGGGTTCATGCCAGAACAAGTACTCTGCAGATTAGAGGTGTGGGATGTCTATGGATCAAAGAAATGTTTGTTATGATTCAGCTGAATACCAAATACCCACGAGGTTTGTCAACTCTGCTATGGCGACCTGTGGCTTTCAGTGTTTTAACAGTGCTAGTTGTGGGATAAATTACATGTGTGGATCAGTCCTGATTGAAAAACAGATGTTACCCACCCTGAAAGATAGATGCATCCAAGAAGATAGATGCATACTGAATCAAATGGGGTGTGTGTGTGTGTGTTATCAATTCAATTCAATTCATTTATTATGGCCATTTGGCCAGTATAAAACACACGTAAAAAACACAATAAAACATCTAAGTGACATATAGTAACTTCTTGCCAAAACATACTGATAACCATTAACATATTTCAGTTTGAGAGAACAGGAATAAGACAGCAGCATTTCTTAAACATAGTATCTATAAGAGGTTCGACTTATGATAGATGTAAAGTTATATGATTTTATGTAAATCTGCAAACTGCAGTCATACAATACTGTCTTTAAAATATTTTTGTTCAAGGGTAGTAACCATTTAGTTTGGGTAATACTACGGTGATCAGTATAGCTAACTGCCATATGTTTCTCTAGATTTTTGACAGAAGTATTTTAAAATCTTTTAACATATTGTATATCTAGCATATAGTATAAAAAGAATATATAACATACAAAATTAAAATATTAAAATTGAAATATTAAAATTAAAATATATATTATAACTATATTGATAAACATAGTAATAATGATAACACCAATATATATTATTACCAACATTACAATATGATAAGATTAAAATAATAGTATCTGAAGAGTACTGTCCACCTAAATAAAATAGTTAATTAAACTACGGGCATTTAACATAACTGAAGTAAAAATGAATTCCTTATAGCTAGTCAGTGGGTTTACAAATAGTAAAGAATGCTGCACCCCTGGAGAAATTCCAAATATGATTTGCCCATCGTGAGTCTCTGTTTTATAGGAACTGTGAAGCTAGACTGTGCATCTCTGATGGAATTCAGATTGAGTATTAAATAACAGAACATTGTTTGATTCATGCCAGTTGGCACTCTCACAGGGCGTTCTGGAAATGGAAACAGGTATTTTGTGGGCATCTCTGTGCTTGTGGGAGGGTTTACCCCAAGTAGCTAAGCCAAAGGCAATTTCACTTATACACACTGCTATAATCCTGGTGCAGGCAGGCATTCTGAAGTGGAAATGATTTCCTTTCTTGTTTTCTCCTCAAGTTTGTTTATTTTACAGACAAATATCTTAAGATTTCTTAAGAGACACAAAAATGTCATATAAGTTTGGTTAGATGCATGTCTTGGTCAGGGATGGGCAGTAGATATTTAGATGTTGTAGGGCTGCAACTCCCATCATCCTTAGGTAGCATAACTAATGGAAGGAATGATGGGAGCTGCAATCTGACAACATCTGGAGGACCACAAGTTGCCTATCCCCACTGTG